TCTCTCTCTCTCTCTCTCACTCTCTCCCCCCTTCTCTCTCTCCCTCTCTCTCTGACACAAAAGTAATAAATCTGTCATTGACGTAAGTTTCAGATTCTTTGAAACATATCTTCCTAGTCGAACGTTCTGGCGATGTCTACCGTCTACGTCTTTTACTTAATTTCAGTGTTGGGAACGAAACATTAATCTGTTGACTGCACGGTTCTCACTTTTTAAATCTTTTTCTGTCGTACCTTATTAACAATCGGTCTGTGAATTCATATATAATAATGATATATATGTATGTGTAATCTGTTGTGAAATGGTTAGGCTCGTCCTTGCATGGAGTAGGTGAGTTTATACGATTGCGTTTTGAAATCGGAACCCGGTTCCTTCGAATATTATGTCCTTTCCCATTCAGTTCAGTCTATGGTGTGGGGGATTGGCAAATGGTCTGTTAGTTCTGGTTTGCTCATTCTTTCCTATCAAGCATCTATCGTTCTTATCTCTCCTTCTTTTCTGTGTATGTTACTCTCTGGTAAATAACGCTAACCTTCGGCTCTTACTGACCTCTCTGTGTTGCAAATGCAGCAAAACTCTTACTGAAACTAGAATTATGTATAAGGTGACTCTGGCAGGCAGGATCGAAGCCACCCGTCTCCACGAAGATCAAAATTGTATTGATAAGGGCGAAGAACGTTAAAACGTTTGCTATCAGGTTACTGTCATTGTTTTGTGTTCCCACCCACAACACTTTGAGATAATATCCTTCTCTGACTCGGACATTAACATCAATGAACTTAAAAACTATTTCTTTTTTTTCCAGGTTTTATGGCCCTCGTATTCCCACTGCTAGGATAACAGAGCTGGGGAATTTTCCACTTCCCTCACTCCGTGGGCGTTTCCTCGTATGAGAAGATTTTTAGGTGGATTTCTATGACGAGGTTGGTGATAATGTGTGACGTGTTATTTGCCGTTATCCGTTTATTTTTTGTTAACTAGTTGTTATCTCACATATTTTAGAATTATTGTTTGTATTCTTTCTTTTCTCGTTGTCGTTGCTTTTATTTTTATTGACTGAAAAAAAAAAGAGTTGATTTGTTCTTGTTGGGTTCTGTTACGCTCAAACCGGCGTCTGTAATGTAACGGTTGAGCGTTTCACTGTCACGTGCAAGTGACCTGAGTTCGATTCCCGAGTGATAGTGAATTTTAACTGAGTATCTCGGTCTTTCTACTGGGATACTGTATTCCTCTCAGTCTGTGTTGTCCTTGGCAGGTCGGAAACCTGCTTCCTGAATGATCTAAATTATGTTTAAGGTGGCGTAAAAACGCATACATTTACTGCAAAATTGTCACGTCATTTTACTAGCGTCTGTGAGCAAGCATGAGGTACCTTGTCGTTACACGTAGAAGACGTGAGTTTGAATCCTTTGTTGGGACATTATTTTGTACAGTGTATCATTCTGTGTGTTCTGATACTTTTATAATATATTGTTTCCCGCTGGGCGCCCCGTTAACTCAGTTGGTATTAAGCTTCACTTCGAAGCGCAGGGCACTGGTTCGAACTCGACACTGTGCGTTTTAAAACTCGGGTCGTTGTGTGGAGTTTACAAAGCTATCAACATGTCTGGCTCGATCCTATGGGAGACGATAGGTACCGCCTCTTAAATAACTCATGAGTGTTTATAGGAGATTGTAAAACCATACTTTTATGCAAAGTTTTATATTACTATTTCACGTGTGAGATAGCCTATCAGCTTATATTTCACGTGTGAAATATGAGGATTTATGTCACTGGAAGCGCAATGCTAAAACAACTCCCGTGTACAGTAATAAGATTATCACCCAATGGTAGGCTATGCGTTTTTGACTAGGCTATGGCTCTCCGATTTCAGTAGCGTGAGAGATTATATTAACTCTGTTGTTTCATGAAAAAGGAATTGTAAGAGAGAATAATAAATCTTTGTATCCCACTCCGCTCGGTTGACCTTAACAGGCAGAGTAGAAGCACCTGACCTCCATAATGATCTTAATTGAGCCAATTGGGTACACAAAGCATTTACAATATCATACATGTATTTGTTAAATATTGCAATCCTGTTATTTCGTTTGTTTAAATCCTTTGGTTGTTTCTGCCTGTTTGTTTACTCTTTCCACCTGCACCAAATGTCTTTTGTATAGTCGTTGTCGTTGTTGTTAGTTCGATCCCAGGTTCCTTCTCTTTTGACCCTTTCCGTTCAGTTTTAGTAAGAGTTTCTCGGCTCTTGTGATTTACATAGGTCTTATAAGTGTCGCAGAATAGAAGCGTGACTAAGTGCGTAACATACAAAGAAAACAAGCTGGTGAGGATAAGGGCGATAGATGTTTGATAGGAAAGCGGAAACATACCACACCAGAACATACACTCGTCAGCCACTTTCTGTTACTTTAGATTACATCTTTTAGTTATTTATGGCATTCTATCTTACTGTTCCCTGCGCTACATGAACGTTGTTTGGTCGACGTGGTTTTCTCTTGTTAGCTCTTTTATCAATTTCCAAAACGACAGGAAAAACTCGAATCATAATTAGCCCGGCTATAACCATCTCCATGACACTTGGGCTGTTGTTCCAAGCCACGCAGAGCCATTTCACAGAGGAAATGTATCTCAAAACAGATCTTTGAGCCCAGTGGCTGTCAGCCGGTAACTGGTGGAAATCAGTGATACCAGGTCTGGGAATGGCGTGGTAATGGCTGGAGATGTTAACAGGCCTGTGACGGCGTGTTGTAGGAAATTGGCGGTCATTATCCCGGCCCCGACAAGCTGACAGATCGTTCACGGGTGTGGAGGTAGTAGTGGCCATGTCGACAAACATGGTAATGTGGACCCCCTGCTGGTGGTAACCTATAGGTCATTCTCTCAGGGAGGGTTGGGAGGTGGGTTGGATGAAAGGTGAGAGGGCTAGGATGGGAGAATACGGGGACTGGGGGGGAGGGGAGTGTTTTAGTTGTAGTAAAAGTTTTACGGCACTTGTGACACAGTTAGGTCATGTAAGTGCCGGGGATTGGAGGTGTTACCAGAGAGTGATATACAAAGAAAAGGAGGGGAGATAAGGACGATAGATGTTTTAATCGAAAGAAGGAGTAAACAACACCAAAACACCCGCAATGTGGATGTGCGAAGGGAAAGTGGGATAAAGTTGGGAAGGATGAGGGGGTGTGAAGGTGGGGGTGATTGAGTCTCTAGTGAACGATGGAGTGAGGCAGAAAGTGAGAACGAGAGACAATGGTATCGGAAAGAAATGAATGAAGGTCTGATAGAGTGGGGGAAATTACGTAGATTGAAAAGAGAAGTGGGGAGAGAGAAAGAAAGAGATAGAAAGCGAGAGAGAGAGAAAGAGAGAGAGAGAGAGAGAGAGAGAGAGAGAGAGAGAGAGAGAGAGAGGGGGGGGGGAGTCCTTAATATGTACTAACGGGCTTCCAGTCTCTATTTGTCTTCCTATCACTCTGTCTCTACCTCTCTGCCTTGCTCTTCGTCTTTCTTTCTTCGACTTCTTTCTCTGCCTATATCACCGTTTTTTCCATCATACATATTGCTGTCTACACTTTAATACATGTATACATTTAAAATTTTAAAAGCACCGGTCTTCTCTCTCTTTCCCAGGCCCC